CTTTCGTTTCGAGAAAATTGAATGTTAGCAGATCTGACAATTAAAAAATATAGGTTAATTATGTAAAGTCTGGGAATGTTTGTACTAATTTATCAATATGTAATTTGATTATATAAATTTCTTTTAGGCGAATTTAACTAAAATAATATACAATTTCCAGGCTGCAAATGGACTTACACCACTTTCATAATTAGTCAATTGTAAATATCATTTAATTTCAATTTTGAAATAACAAATATCACTTTCTTTTTTTGCTGGAATGAATTTTCCTTTTTTTGTAAAGTACTCTTGTCCGGCATTTCGCTTAATTTTGTTTATTCGTTGCGTATATTTTCCTTTATTTTCTTTTACAGAATCCAAGTTCTCAGTAACAATATCCTCATCTGATGAAAATTCTATCTCTATAATTCTTCTTCTCTTTTTACGCTTCATTAATTTATTTTTCATAGTAGAATTATCTTCATCCTCCGATTCTAAGATTATTCTTTTGTTTATATTCATGGGTCTTATTTCCCCGTGTAAATTTATTTAAAATAAAATAAAATAACTATTTTCAATTGTCATAAAATAACATTGATTTACTATTTCTTCTTACCTATATCACTATCTGATGTGAATATGAAATTATCCATTGTTGGAGGAAAATAAAATAAGTAACCTAAAATAGTAACTTTAGGCACGAAAATAAAACAATATAAATAGCAAATAAAGCAATTGTGAAGCCACCGGTGGCCACTAACCCCGCCACCTGTCTATGGAAATTGGACTTACACCACTTTCGTAATCAATGGTTACGCAATTTCATTTACCGGTCAATTTTAAATTGAACAAAGCATTGGCATTTTTTAAGATATTAACTACTAACTAGTTATAAACAAAAAGTTTACACTAAATCAAGCATAAATTACGTCATATCTCATTTTTTTTAAAAAGGGACTTACACCACTTTCAAAATAAACGGTCCATATAACGGCAATGCGTGCGAATGAGAGAGAAAGAATTGCATGAAAACGTAAACACTTAGCTCTTTCTTTTCTCGCGTCTCCACTCCGTCAAGATGCTTGCCCGTAGCTTTGCACCGTGGCTTTGCCCTTAGTCCGTGGCTTTGCCCTTGTCCGCCGCGAGACCTGTCGAACAGCTCTGGCCTACAGCTTCTTATTTCTAAAATAATTTGTTCTAAAAGCTGGAATTTGACGATCGTCAACAATTATAAAAACGAGGTGCAAGGCTCGAATAATCGTATCTCCTCTTCCCGAATTGTCCATTTTTGTGCACAATCGGAACATGAATTAGGGAGAATTTATATTGTATTTCATATACCGATATCAGTCTCTGGCTACTAGATTATCATGCACGCCCAAAGAACGTCATACTTTTATCTTAATTTATCGTGCAACATCACATCGTTCAAAATTCATCACGAATACCGGCGCACCATGTATTATAACGCAGCTGATAACTCTCGCGTCAACCGATGCGGTTATGACCTACATTCAGACATTTATAACAATCTCAGAGCAAATATCACTTGAATTCATTAATTATGATTCTGAATATTTTGAGCAGGAATATAGCGGACCAAATAAAAATATCGTTAGCCAGTGTGCGAGTGACCGAATAATATTCGATCGTATGTTAAAATACTTCAAAATTGCTTGAGATTCACCGAAAAATAAACCAAGTCACAATTATTTGTGGCTAGAATAACAGTCCGCTTGTCGCTGCCAATGATCTGTGAATAGCAGAGGGAGGGGGGGATGTTTAAAATCGGTCGGACGGAAAAGAATTTCGCCTTGGACAGTTTTGTGGCAATTAAGCGGCGCGGTCTCGTTAGAGTGAAACGAACCGCGGCTTGATTTTAATCTCAAACAATAGTGGGACGTCATCTGTCGCAACCACCTACGGTTCCATCTTCCGTCCGATTTCATTTCTAGGTTTCTTGGAGAGGATCATTTTACCACAATTTAAACAATCGCCCCCTCCATAACCCCATTGAACGCGTAAGTTGCACGCAAGAGAAACAGGGAACCGGTGAACACGAGCTGAACGCGCCGGGAACACGTTTCACAATTTTCACGTCGCCAGTTTTCTTCATGTAAGAAGCACAGTCGCGAAACGAACGGCTTCGCTTTACGAAATAATAAACGACGGACCGAATAATAGCTGCCGACTGTGTCGCGTTTACGTGACGTTGGAACACTTTTTTCTCGCTGTCATTTGCAACTGCGTGTGAGAGCAACCTTTCTCATTCTTTATGTCGCTATGTTGTTATTTATTGTTGAACGTGTGCAACTCAGTGTCGAAAGATTAGGCTTTGTTAGTGTTTCTTAATTCATTACTTTAATCTATGAATCTATAAATCTAAGTTAATTACTTTAATCTATAAATCTACGTTAATTACTTTAATCTATAAATCTATAATTCTTAATTAATTACTTTAATCTACAAATCTATAATTCTTAATTAATTACTTTAATGTATAAATCTATAATTCTTAATTAATTACTTTAATCTATAAATCTATAATTCTTAATTAATTACTTTAATCTATAAATCTATAATTCTTAATTAATTACTTTAATCTATAAATCTATAATTCTTAATTAATTACTTCAATCTATACACAAAATGCTAATTATTATGTTTAGCGTGTTATATTGCAATAGATTCGTTTATGCTTCATTGGACTTCGTGTCTTCGAATATTTTGTAATTTTGGGACATATGTAGACAATTTTTATGTGTAAAATAATGTTTGAGCTTTGAGGTTGCCAACCTCCATAAGTTGGCACTTATATACAATGTGTTATCTATATGATATTTCTGCAACTGCATTTAAAACTGCTTCGAAAAAAAATAGTAACTGTACTGTAATAACTCATTGTGAAATATAAATAAAAATTTGTGCCGTACGCGTAGACGAAGTGATTTCTGAGATTGTGATTCTATTTTATTCCATATTAATATTTGTACAGTATAATCACATTGTAGGAACTTGAACAAGTACCATTAGAATTGTGAGAAAATAGACATGAAATGTAGTCGGACTTTTTTTCATTAAAAGTAGAGGGCTTTTCATGTTGGTAGAAAAATCTGAACTTGTTGGGGTTCAACCCAACAATGCATTCTTCTTTTGGTCTACCACTCTACTCCGACCTACTGCCCCATTGCTGTGTTGCTGCTACCTTTATCTGTAAAATTAACCCTAAAAAAATGTCCTACTTAGTTTGAAATACGTTTTACTACTTTCCTGCCATCACCATTACTTCTCCAGGCGAGACAAAAACTGTTAGACATAGGAATGTTACTCGACTATCTGCTATTGTACTATGTAATCTTGATAAAATAATAATCTTGAATATTTATAACAGCCTCAATGTTTCTTTACAGTGTCAGCAATCAAAAACTATAGTGAACAATTTAAAGAAATGGAAGCGGCTTGAAAATATCCAAAAACCGACCATCTGAAAAAAATCATTACAGGAAAATTATAATTTAATTGGTATCGTAAAACTGACGTATACAAAATTGTTCAATATCATGAAAAATGATTAATGCAATAACCGCTTCATCCTAAATGAGACAAATGAGACATGCACATTCATATGCATATCCTTGACCTGTCGCGAGAATTTACTTAACTTAAACATTACTAGTTAATTTATTAAATAAGACAAACTTTGTTGAGACCTGTGAGACGTAAGAAAGTTGCAAAAGAGCAGTTGCTGTAATAAATCTTGTCTTTTCTTCTATTATATTATTAACGCTAAAACAATCGAGCACTAAAAGTGACCCGTGCGTACAACTTTCTAAAAATGGATCTGTTCCGTACTAAAAATATTCTCTTCACATCCATTCATATATTTCACTCTCTGCTTTCAATCTTTGTAAATTTTTCGTAGGCAAACTAGTTTTTGGTAGAATTTTTAATTTATACAGGGTGTTTCGTAATTATGTTAAGGTTATTTGTTTTGGTCATCTTTTTCGAGGGAGAGGGTAATTCCTAAGGTGATTTGAAGTAACTTTTTCCTTAGTAAAAATGCAATCCGCTGCTTCGTTTACGAGAGAGAGAGAGAGAGAGAGAGAGAGAGAGAGAGTTATTAATAAAAAAAACAGTGACCAATGAGAGACGAGGCCGCCAAGCGCTAGACGGCCGAGTCAATCACCGGAACTGGGCTTCGAGCACTCATTGGTTCGGCCGCTTCGCGCAACACCTGATCTCGCCTCTCATTGGTCACTGTTTTTGGTTAATAACTCGTAAACGAAGCCGCGGATTGCATTTTCGCTAAGGAAAAAATTACTTCAAATGACCTCAGGAATCACTCTTTTTCGAGTGTTAACAAAATTATGGAACATCCTCTATTTCCCTCAGCAGTATAACAAAGAGCTTCGATCTACACAAAAATTTCTGTGCGACTTCATCGTCAATTGACTAACATACCATATAACCAAATTGCTGATTTTACGCACCTATGACAAAAATTGGGAACAGTGCAATTTGGAACAGTGAAAAGACTATAAGTATTTCCCAGTGCTAATACATTACTTTGGTTCTACTAAAATTATTGAAGAAAAACATATACAAACAATAAATATTTTCCACAAAGATCCACAGTTTATTTATAACAGATTATCACATCTCCATCATCGCGCGGCGTTCCATGTCAGCTTCATTTGCTTCCAAAGCAAAGGCCGAAATGAAAACAGCATAGTTAATCCCGCGACGATACTTCCCAACGCGCGATGCGAATCCAGGAAAACGCGTTACGGCAAGCGTAACGTTAACTTTCTTGCGGCGGCGTTTCGACGCGGATTCGGGCGGCGCAGGTATTATTTGTGCAAGAACACATTCTGGTAAAATCAGCAGGATACGATTCGGAAGGCGAAAAGCGGAGTCCGGATGCACGCGGAGTGCGATGCGCGCGGCAGGCTGGCCTCGGTGGCCTCGGAACTCGGGACGCAGGCGTCGAGCCCAGGAACGTTCGTCAGTCGTCGGCCGAACTTGAAACGCGCGGCTTCGCGGCCTCTTCCCGCGCGTCGCGACGCCCACGTCCGCCTCGACGCGCCAAAACGCCGACACACCTGCGTACACCTGATCCGTAACGGGCGCCCGCGGTTCCCGAAGTGACTCGCGGCACCCCACGCAACCGGCATGCACGCAACCCTCGCGCGCCGCGTTTCACGCCCGCGGAAATTATTTCTCACGTGCACGTCCGGCTGACCGCCCATCAATCCGCGGTAATAGACATCTCGTGCGACGATCGACAAGCACCCCCGAAACCGCATTGTTCCCGAGGAAATGATACGATTGCTCCATTAGTCCCGGAAATTGTACGTGCTCGGTTTGATGACAGTGTCGCCAGACCGTTTCGTTGGTGCAGATTGCGCGGACAGTGCGACCTGACTACTGAAAGTTCAGGATAACGGCAACGTTTGTTCGCCTTGGTTGCTTTGCGTTTGTTTCCACGTAGAATGGTCGGATTGGTTACTTTGACTCGTTTGTTTACGATGTGCCGAGGCAACGTGGCACGAGCCTGGACCGTAGGGTCTTCGCCAGGCTGCAAATAGGAATTCGATGTAATTAACCCTTATTGCTCTAAACCTGCCCCGTGGGCATCATCTGTCGGGCACCTTTGATTTTCTACGTGCCAGCCCACTGTGCTGGTTTACGCGTTACGTTGAACACATTGTTAACACTAGATTTACGGAACCCGTGAAAATGACTTTATTTTTACGGTTTACGGTTTAATTTTTTAGTTTATACGATTATTCGTATCGCAAAGGTACATTTATGAGTTATTTGTTCAATTTATATGTTACTCACGGCAAATGTTACAATAACACCTGTTCTAAATCAGAATAAATGTCTTATTGATCCTTCTATAAACTAATATAAAACAGCTGTTTCTTGTGCTCCGTAAATCTAGTGTTAAATGTAATCGGTAAACTGTGCATTTTTATGCAACTTTTCATTGTCACCGATCATTTTCTTAATATCTAAGTGAAGGAAACGTTTCTTAGATCAACTAAAAAGTTTCCCATAGCGAACGTAGTATAACAACAGAATTAATTTCTACCAGTATACACGTTTTAATATACATAAAAATCAACGTTCGCGTTGAGAGAAAAAATAATACTGATCGGTAAGTTATACGCGAATAGTCGAGACCGTCAGATCTCAACTAACGAATGTTTCGAAACGTATCACAAATTAAGCTCGACTAATGAATGTTTTACTAGCTATCACAAATTGGTCTCAACTAATTAACATTTTAGAAGGTACTGCAAATTACTCGGCAACAATTGATCGTGCAAATGTATGACTATTACGATCAAGCTTATATTACTTCCAAATTAAATAAACATTATTTTAAATCAGTTCTACATTTTACTACCTGTACGACATCGTCGCGTTTAGAATGTGGGGACAAGTTGGAGTTGCCGAACCGTAGTCGCGCCATAGGGTTGTAGCGATAAGGGTTAAACAGAATAGAACAGATACGTCGATTAGGGAGTCTCTCGAATTATACGTTAACGCCTTGGGAACTGCCACGCCAGCTCGAACCCGAGCCCCCAGATAAGGAAAGTAAATTAAACTTTGAGAATTGGGATCGATAGTACCGTGGCACATGTTTTTATGTCTTCCTTGAAGCAATGGCGCTTGACACGTTTATTACCACCTTCAATCCGGCAATCGATAGAATTGCACACGGAACAGTCCGTTGCCAAAAAGCGTTGACACGTACCTAAGATTTTTACCAGAATATCTTGATATTTCTACGAAATATACCGTAGAAGCATGAAAGAATTGCTTCTACATCCCTTTCCTTTGTATCATCCGTAGAACTTGTTTCCTGAGATCTAAGAGGAACTGGAATTTCAAAGAAAATGTTCCGATTTTCAGGAGTGTTCGACCTGTCAGTTGCAGGAAGGTGCACAACCGTGTCAAACGTAAGATCTCGATGGAACTAAAAATTTGCGAGTTTCTCAAAGTGCATCCTGGAACTTGGTCACCGAACCGTTGTATTTCTTACAATTTCTAAAGTACTCGACTGTCAAACCTCGCGGTTCTCGATGTCCGACCGACAGAGATCAACGATCGCTCGCGAATCTGGCGTGTTTCGTTCCCACTGACATTCTTCGGTTCTCGCGATCCATTTGCCTTTTCGATCTATCGACGTATCGTCGCGTTGCAGAGCGTGTCCCATGCCGTTTCTAGAAATAGAACTCGCCGCAGCTCGCGCGCGCTGCCGCGACAACGCCGTTTTAAATTTAATCCCACGATATCGCGAAGCCTCTTGATGAAAGCGTTATTACGTTCCGCAGATACGTCGTCCAATCATCGTCAGACACGCGTTTCGCCGCCGCGCCGCGGACAAATTTATTCCCGTAATTACCGACTAATTGTCTAATTTCCCCAGCGCCGCGCGACTGTGCCCACGCACACACACACGCACACCGTTCAAGTGAAATCCACCTGACCATAATTATCTTAGAATTGCCGTGCAGCTTGCAGACGCGTTGCACGGCGCGAAGTTTCTAACCAGCGTGTCGCGTTGCATCCTCGTCACTCTTTCGACCGGGGACACCGCAACAATTTCCGATCGAGCTACCTTGTTGCGGAGCTCCTAACTTGTGCAGGCTGCTTCGGGACGGTATAACCGTGGCGCAATCGAGATGCGATCTGCCATGTTGGAATGAATTAAGAGAGAGAGAATTCTGTTCGCGAGGGGCGTCGTTTTATGGATGATCCGTGCGCCTTGTCCGACCATTGATGGACTATTCTACTTCGTATATGAAAACCCATAAGTTTGTAGCGTTATGGCAACGCTAAACTATTATATCCATATCCATGTCCGAATCTATATTTCTGATCAGCATTTTTGAAACGTGTAGCTACGTAATTTTCTAGCATTTTCCTGCAAGTATTGTGCCCGATTATTACTGGATTATTTCACTTGAACTGCACAAATTTATAATTTCACGATATCGTTTGGTGATTCTAGCTACTAATCATTGTGGTATAGATTAATATTACTGAGCGATGTTTAAGCTCTCGTAATATAATAAAATGTAATTATTTAAATCCTTTGAGTGCTCGAAACGCGTCCAGTAATTAAAAGTTTAAAATAATCTGCGTCCTAAGGAACTCTTGTTCAGCGATTTCATTGTTGAATAACTTGACTAACAATTAGGAAGCAATATGTAATTTAATTTATACCCTCCAATTGTTATTATTATTGGTGAAATATTTAATCCAATTCTTGTTGAAGTATTTGACAATTTTCATTAGCGTAGTGGAAAATGTAATGCATAGAATTCAGCATAAAATTCATTAACGGTTTCTTAGCTATTTTTATGCAAATGTAATTAGGAAAATGTACACTGTTTCGCTGTATTACCCGGTTACTGTTACGTCTGACCATTACGATTATCACGACACAATTTGCGATCCAGACTAAGTAGATGCAATATAATACGTAGGGAACTATAGCCGTACAACAGTGTATGTACTATGCTGTGACCGATGTTTATCGCGAGTAGAAATAGTGTTCCAGAGTCGGACACACGAATCGATCCCACTTTAAAAGGTATCACAGAACAGTCGTAACACTTGCACGAAGAATCGTTAGCCCCTTTTGTTAATGCGGTTAGTTCCGAAGAATCCCGCGTGCCATCGCGTTATCGTTTAACCTGCCATTGCAGAACGACGCCCGTTCTTAATTAGCATATCTCGTGGAAACGCGCACGTAGCCGACCAGTAGTTCGTTTGTGTCGATGCTGAAATCGGGTTCCAACTGAAACTTTTGTGGACTGTAAAGCGTGAAATTGCCTTCGGCAAAGACATTGGACAGTGTGCAAATACCGTTCTCCCGAAGAAACAAGCTGTGACACGCAGAATGGACTAACGAAGGGAAGAATAATACCGACTGGACGTACGGGTCACGATTTCGCCGACCGATAAACGGTAAGAAATCATTCTGTCAGTCATTGCATTTGCATCGCTTGTCGGTGGCACGCCGCGTCGCGTCGCGTCGCGGCTGAATAGTCCATCGTTCGTGGCGGGTCCGAGAATTTGTTATTCCGAGCTCGTGAGAAGCTCTCTCGAGCCTCTGCTTGACCGAGCGGGAAAATTCGAGGACCCATTTTCGAAAAAGAAATGAACGCGGCGCACCGTAATTAGCCAGGAAGCGCCCTTCCCTTGCCGCGTTCCAGCCACCTTATCGCGCCGCTTACGCTACTAGTTAGCTCGTTCAGACATTATGACATTGCAATTACATGGAGAGCAAACTTTACGCCACAAATTACAACGGCCACACGGAACACACGGGATGAATCCGATATCGTAACTGCATTCTACGGACAATAACTAAAAACGTTCGCATTCGCGCCCTTAATGGTGTGTTTCGTTCCGAATGCCCCGCTTGTTCGCGATGGATTTTATCAATTGTGACGATTTCGAACAAGCTGGAAACTTACAGCTGTTTGTAGTAGCATACTGAACATTGCTCGCAAGATTTTGATTTCAATCGTAAAATATCGTTATTTGGCTATCTAGTTTCTGCAAATAAATTTAAATTATTAGAATTGAATTATTAAGATCGATAGAAAAATTAACGCGTCTAGAAGTACTTTAAAAAAATGCGTTAAAAGATTCATAAAGATTATAAATAATCCTAAATGTACTCAGTTACCATTTCGTCATAATGGGCTGCCGTTCAAGTATTAAATGGTATCTTTTCTGGAGAAGATTATCCAGTGTTTTCATCAATTCTTCCATCTTTTTATATAACTTCTCCATCACGGCCTCATTTCGTCTTTCAAGCATGATTGCAAATATTGTTGTCAAATTTTTACTCATCATGTTTTACTCTACATGTTTAATCTCGCGAAAACGAGGCTCGAAGTATTTATTTATTAACTATTTATATATTTATAGTATCTCAGCTCATATTATAATTTCACGTGTATACTTTTACAAGTACATTTTTCATTGTAAATATCGATTCAATCAGCAATCCACTTATATTGTCGCGGAAGACCAACCCTGAGTCATATGTGACCCGTGGTACGTGCCCTTAACTAATGAACTTTAGAATTAATTTCCCCGTGAAAAAAATTATACCTTATTATGGCTTATTGCGTGAAATGGCATTCAACAGGTGAACCAAAGAAAGTAGATCTTGGAAGCGCGTAAATGATTGTTCTTTATTATTATTTTAAAACCGTGACCCAGTATTGGCTACCCGAGTGGTAACAAAATCATATTCATGCTATTGCTGCGGCTATTGTACCCTACTGTCAATTTGTGAGAACGCCGATGAGCTGCAATGGATTATTCGCTATTAATTAGATATTATCCCTGTTGTTTGATACGTTCGTTGTTTCCGCGTATCATACGTGATTCTATGGTTACAGCATGTAATCATTAACTTTTACTGAAAACATATTTCGAAATGGAACTGATGAATCGAATAAAAATATATTAGTCAATATGGCACAGTACCAAAATTACGACAGATAACAATTATGGATGAGAGAGAAGCGTGGGAAATTTTGGTACCAAATTTTCTATTGTTTGTCTTTTCGTTGTTCATCTTAAAATCAAAATGAGCATTAAATAAATTTAGTCAGATGCAATGAACATTTTCTTCTTAAATCAGACATTGTTTAATATCTTCCTAATTACACAACAGAAGTATACAGAATTGACGAAAGAATTTTATAGTTTTCTGTCGGTTCTATGGTCGCGTTATCGATATGCCGATAGGCAGGCCGAAAGAGTTTCGAGTGACCGTATGCCAGGCAAAGGAAGCCAACTCATTGCACACATCGATTCGATGGTATCAGATATCTTATTCGCCGATGGTTGATCATTGCAGGTTACTGCCCGAATTCCCGATTTATTTCCGATCGCTCTTTCACGTAATGGAGAACCATTTATCTCGCGGTGCATCTCGACTGTAGCAAGCAATTCGACCGTAATCGATGCCATCTGCCATTATCGCGCGTTAGTCGCGGCCTCGGTAAATCACCCTATAAAATATTAATGTTTGCCACTGTATCCTTGCCGCGCGTGCACCACGAATCCGGGGAAACGATAGGATACGATCGAATGCCGGTGTTCCTGAAGTATTCGCCAGTGTCGACACCAATATTAGCGTCAATTTCGTATTTACGATACTGCCGAGATTCAATTTCCCCAGATTCCATCGATACTCGCGAACAGACATTACAAGCACAATACTCGGTTTAATCATGTACATTCCATACCTTTTTCCATGCTGGAACCAACAACCCCGTGACATTTTTAAAGAAAATTCAGATAAGATCATATGTAGTCAAATTGAAAACAACTGTAATTTGACTATATATTCCTACATGTTCAAAATGTAATATTTCTCAAAAATATGACTCCGCAAACAATATTTATGATTTATCTTTTCTAGTGCATTATAATATTACTTTATCAAAAGAGAGAAAATTAAATGATAACAGCGTTTTGATAATGTCTAATTTTTGTTTATGATATTAGCCAATTTTATTTTCACAAAAAAATGATAGTTGCAGATTTCAATTAGATCACTATATTAATGTAAAGAACTAATGATGGAATTAATGTAAATTGCACGCGTAAATTAAGGTACTGAGATTTTCCTTTGGACTTGATGCAAATAATGAGCGAGTGATACTTATCGTTTGATTGCTAATGGTTTAAACCTTTAAAACTTTCAACTATAACTACAAAATAAATTCTCAATTTCAATATTTCTGATCTCAATTATCTCGTATGGAAATTTTTTATATTTTTTTTCAAAGTATATCAAAGTCTTTTCTTTGTCCCTAAAATATTTTTATACTGATTTATATTATCAAAACAAATATATATTTATACAATAGTAAATACTAAAACTTCAATCTTGTGTGCAAATTTGTTGGTTGTACTCGCATGACTTAAAAAAGAGATTTTATTTAATTTAAAAATTTCTACTAGCAGAATTTTTTGAAATCGCAGTTCTAGCGAAGGGTTAAAAGAAGCACGGACGTGCCATTAAACATAATTGTGTCATTAGAACTGCATTTTTACGCGGTCCACATCATTTGCCTTGACATTTCTGGCTCCGACAAATGGAAATACAAAAGTGCTACGAAATTATCAATTTACTCTGGTTCAATTCACACCATAGTCGCGATGTTCTTTCAGATATTGCATAAAAAGTTTGCCAGGAGAATCCATTTTCTGCAATGTAGAATGCGCTTTCCGACTTTCGGTTCCAATTAATTCAGGGCAACTTTAACTATACGTGAAACAAAAGTTTACCACTTAAAAATTTTTAATTCTACCCAGGAGCCGACGTTTTCATTAATAGTTCGTGTAACTGTATAAAGTACTGTACAGAAAGTCCGAGAACTTGTTAAAGTTCTTCTTTAAAGTCTCGGAAGAATAGAATAACTTTTTTAAAAATGGACGAAATGACTTTTATTTTTTTTTAAGATATTAAGGAGACTAGTTTACCAGGCAATGCATACAATTCTTTTTATCCAATCGCAATCGATTGAAATGAACAAAGAATACGGAACACGCGCTTGTTTACCTTTTTATCTGAGCTTATAACGATTACAGTGTTTTGTAGATCTCTGTTACTTACACGCATGCTGAGAATTTCATCGCTAATCGGTTGACGTTGTTATGAACTACAAGCAATTAAAGATCGCGGAGATCGTAACTTTTTCTCAATTTTCGATTTTTTCGGCCGATAACTATAAAAAAAACTGCAGATTTTTACATCTTTCAATGCCCGTAACTTGACTGTACGCCAACCGATTTCGATGAAACTTGCGGCTTACATGTAAGTTACCGAAACCTACAAAACTCGCTATTTCAATTTTTGTTACAAGCTCGGATAAAGAAGTTAAAAAACGTGAGCTTTTCTTTATTTTCTATGTCGTTGTTGGTGTCTGGAAAAATGACCAAGACTCGTTCCATATGTACAGTTAATTCTCCCTAATTGACGCTCAGATTGTGCAGAAAAATGGACAATTTGGGAAGAGGAGATACGATTATTCAAGTCTTTCGGCCCGTTTTTATATTTGTTGACAATCGGTAACTATAATAATGAGCCGCAAGGCTTGAATAATCGTATCTCCTTTTCCCAAATTGTCCATTTTTGTGCGCAATCTGAGCGCGAATTAGAGAGAATTTGCTGTAATCACTACCGAAAATCTGGGGCTCGTCGTGGGTCCCCGTCGTTCGTCGTTCTGCCGTCCGAAGAAATGACACCGAATACCATTTTCCTCGAACGGCCGTTAATTACATTCTAAGAGCGCAAGATACCATTGGCGACAGAGGGTCGGCCGCAGTATATATCCCTACGTCTTTTGTTTATTTAACACGTTGAATACGGTGTTCAAAATGTAATATTTTTCAAAAATATGACTCCGCAAACAATATTTATGATTTATCTTTTCTAGTGCATTATAATATTACTTTATCAAAAGAGAGGTGGCCATGGGGGCCACCGGTGACCGACGCGCCCAAATTGATAGAAATATATATAATTTAAAACAAATGTCAATATCTAAAATTTTGTATTATTACCATCGTCAATTGAAACTATGATCTCCGTCGCAATTAACATGTCAAACATGGTTGTACACTGTAACTTATCTATTGCAGATAATATTTCAACATTATATGTATCACATAAAAGAAAATTCATCATGGCGCCACGCGCAATTTCTGTAAAACCGGCGTAGCATTCAATGTGTTAACTCTCTGGGGCATAGTGGAATTAAAAATGTCCCATCTTTTCGATGCACGATAATGCATGGTGGGACATTTTTAGACCCATGTGTCACGGCGGGGCTATTTGTGTTCCACCCTACAACAAATTGAATTGAATTATTATTATTTTTTTATGTTTTTATATTGCGCGATTCCTTTGTTAATAAAAATATACCAATTTT